ACGGAGTGTTGGCCCCGCCCATCAAACTGCGAGCCGGGCACAAGATTGTGAGCACCGATTTGAAAGTTGAAACGGGCAGCAACCACTTTTTCGAGGACTTTGCTCAGGGTTTCTAATAGCGCAATTGGTCAGTGGGACTTGGGTGCGGTGTAATCCGCCTTGCCCGGTTTGGGCAAGTACACAACCGCTGCAGCCCGAAGTGGGGCGGGGAGGTAACCCAGGCACAAAGAAGAGGATAGAAAAAGAAAAAGAGTATGACGCGCACCAGACCACCAAACCCATTTTAGGAGCCGCCATGACACTCCGGAGATGCCAGACGCTGAATAGTTAGATGCAGCAAAGACTACTGGTCAGCCTATGTCCCTAAACACTTCTACGAGTATGGCGATGTGTTCTCCAAGAAGCAGTCAGAACGAATGCCCACAAGAAAGCCCTATGATCATCCAATCGAACTTGTTCTGGAGGCATCGTTACCATGCCCGGCAAAGTTATATCCTATGAACCTACAGGAAAGGAATTCGCTTGACATGTGAATAGACCACGAGTTGGCCAAAGGATACATCAAGAGATCAAGGAGTCCAACTGCAGCCCCTGTCTTCTTCATTAAAAAGAAAGACGGATCACTGAGGCTAGTACAAGACTATAGGAACCTCAATGCAGTAACAAAGAAGAACAAGTTCCTGATCCCACGCATTTCGGACCTCATCGACAGACTCTTACATGCTAGTATATTTACGAAGCTTGATCTGAGATGGGGGTTCAACAACATAAGGATTAGGGAAGGGGACAAAGAAAAGGCCACCTTCATCATGCATCGTGGCCTCTTCGAACCTACCGTAATGTACTTCAGTTTCTGCAACGCTCCCAGCACCTTCCAAACAATGATGAATATGGTCCTTGAAGACTTAATTCGTACTGGAAAGGTGGTAGTCTACTTAGACGACATCCTCATTCTTACGGACGATCTCGAAGAACACTGATGACTAGTAAAAGCGGTTCTCCAGCACCTCCAGAACCATGACTTATATGCCAAACTGGAGAAATGCTTCTTTGAACAGTCCTCAATTGAGTATCTTGGAATGATCATCAGCAAGAACTCGGTACAGATGGACCCTGCTAAAGTCAGAGGTGTACTTGGCTGGCCCGCACCGACAAAGGTCAAACAAGTACAGGCCTTTTTAGGATTCGCAAATTTCTACAGATGAATTATAAAGGACTTTGTGAAACTTGCATGACCTTTAACACTTCTCACCTGTAAGGACGTGCCCTGGCAATGGAAGGAAGAGCAAGACCAAGCCTTCAGTGCACTTAAAATGACATTCACTTCAGCCCTGATCCTATAACTCCCCAATGATACTGCACCCTACTGACTGGAGACAAATTCTTCAGACTATGCAACTGGCACAGTACTTGAACAACTGGGAGAAGACAAGCTATGGCATCCAGTTGCATACTACTCAAAGTCACTCAACGAACATGAGAGAAACTATGAGATTTATGACAAAGAAATGCTTGCAATTATTCGGGCACTAGAAGAATACTGGCACTACTTAGAAGGACACCCAGAACCCATTGAGATTTGGTCAGACCACCTCAACCTTACATACTTCCACCAGGCATAGAAGTTATCCCAGCGCCAAGTGCGCTGGTCATTATTCCTCACCAGATTCAATTTTATACTCAGTCACTGACCTGGAAAGACTATGCTACATGCCAATCCTCTGTCCAGGAGGCCAGACCATGAGAGGGGGGTAGACAGTGACAATTCGAACCAAATGCTGTTAAAACCTGAATTTTTCGCTATCAATGCGATTCGACCCACTCACACATCTGAAGTTGATGATGCTCAACTACTGAAAAGGATCAAGAAGGCACTCACAGATGACACAATGACCAAAGATTATCATGCGCTTTTGACTACAGGACAGCACGAATTTGGAAAAACCTCGCAGAATGGAACTTTGAGCACGGACTGCTGCTCCATCGCGAAAAGGTTTATGTCTCAAAAGATCAACAGCTATGCCTTGACCTAATAAAGCTCCATCATGACACATTACCAGCTGGACACCAGGCAGGTTCAAAATATTGGAGCTCATCACTCGGAATTATTGGTGGCCAGGAATGTCTGTAATGGTTAAGCAATATGTACAAGGTTGCGACAGTTGTTAATGCAACAAGTACTCCAGGAAAAAAACCATACGGACTACTACAACCAAATGAGGTACCAGGAGGACCATGGGAAATTGTCACAGTCGATCTCATTACACAACTTCCTCCAGCCATGGACTTTAGGGGAGAAAGGAAGACAGCAATACTTGTCGTCGTAGACAGATTCACGAGATGAGCGCACTCCTATGCAATTGACGACACAGTCACATCGTTGCAAGTTGCTAATGTATTCTATAATGAAGTCTTCAAACTCCACAGATTGCCGTGCCAGATTATCTCAGACAGAGGTACTCAGTTTGCGAGCAAACTATTCCAGGAGTTTTGTCAGAAGCTCAGTATAAAGTCTACAATGTCTATGGCATACCACCCCCAAACAGATGGTCAAACAGAAAGGGTTAACCAGGTGTTGGAACAGTACCTCCGCATGTACTGTAATCACAGGCAAAATGATTGGGTCTACTATCTGCCAACGGCAGAATTCTTACACAACAACCAGACCCATGAGTCCACCACACTTTCCCCATTCTTTGTCGAATATGGCCGACATCCAAAAATGGCACCAGACGTACACGAATCAATATGTCACCCTTCATTGGAACATCTATTCACCCACCGATCTGAGGCACAAGAACAGGCAAAGGCAGCATTGGAAGTTTCAGCTTCACGGATGAAATGGTACTTTGACGAGAAAAAGGGAGAAGTCCCATTCAAAGTCGGAGACCTAGTACTACTCAAGGGAAAGGACCTATGAGTGAAAGTCAAATCTACAAAGCTAGGCACACAAAACTTCGGACCTTTCAAAGTACTTCAGAAGCTAGGCCCAGTCACGTTCAAACTGGAATTGCCCAAGCAAATGAAGGTTCACCCGGTCTTCCATGCTAGCAAGTTGATCATATATCACCAAGACACGGTCGCAAACTGTGAACCCCCAAAACCCCCAGCTATAGATCTCGAAGGAGAACCAGAATTCAAAGTTGAAGAAATACTAGACTCAAAGGTCATGAGGGGAAGGGTCCAATACCTCGTTGAATGGAAAGGCTATGACAATTCCGACCATACATGGGAACCCTGAACAAATCTCACCAACACCGATGAGCTCCTTCAAGAATTCCACCAGCAACACCCAGATGCAGCCAAAGCACCAATCAGGGTCATCACTTTTGGTGGAAAACGTTTCGAATTATCCTAATACGAAGTTGCACCAATATTCACACACACAATCAACATGTCCGACCACCCGGATGAGTTCTTCCTATATTATAAAATGACAGACAATGCCAAATCACTGAAACAATCCTCAAACGAAGCAGCAGGATGGGATATTTATGCAGCAGAAATGCATGAAATCCCTCCACATTCATGAGCTGTGGTAGGAACGGGAGTCACAATTGATCCTCCCAAGCATACCTATACATGAATAGCTCCACTCAGCAGACTGGCTGCATGAGAAATTGATGTGGGCGCAGGAGTCGTTGACCCTGATTACACTGGAGAACTCAAGGTCGTACTGATTAACACAATGGATTTTGTATTTTCGGTCAAGCCAGGAGACCGGATAGCCCAGATAATCTTCGAGTATTATGCTGAAGGGCTTCCCTCCTGAAGCTACCAACTGTTGCGAGCAACAAAAAGGGGAAATAAAGGTTTTGGCTCCTCGGGACAATGAGCCTTGAGAGGAGGGTAGTGTCACAGATTTTTGCCACAAAAGTCTGCACATGACTTTTCTCACACCACAGATCACGTGCTTCACCAATATCTCATGCCACTCAGCCACAGACGTGACACGTAGAGATCAGGTGATAGTTCACATCACATGTTATGGTCCAGACCCACAGATGATACGGTCAGACCTGTCTACTCCAGGATACAATAGAGGCACCCATTTAGGAACAAAGGGAACAAGGACCATTGTTCGGGATCATCTAGGCAATCAGCTCAAGGTATAGCCATTACCACAATAGGATGAATCGTCTCACCATTGCCATGGGAGAACATCGATCTTCTCATCTATTGTTCTACTTACAGATAGATCTTCCCACTTATTGTTCTGTGTATAGTTTAGTTGCCTAGATATGTAGATAGCCAATCATCTATTTTGTAGTAGTGGTACGATGAAGGTTATATAATCAGGCTCCTGTACATGTATATAAAGACAGCATATAGAGGACGAAACTTCAGATTGTTTCTCCTCGTCTACCACTGTAGCACCTTACTGAGCCTACCAGCTCCTTCATATATCTCTCACCCTTTCCACTGCTTGCATCACCAACAAGTAAGTCTTGGGCTCTTGCACCACATAAGGGTTCAGGGGGATCACAGGGATCAGGGGGATTAGGGCAGCATGTTCCACGTGACCGTTCCTTTTTGAGTCTCTTTGCTCTCTTATCCAGCGGTGCTGTGACAGATGCATGAATATCATGTTGTTGAGGATCTGTTCATAGACCATCAGCTGCCTTTATCGGTGTGTCCTCATTCGCATATCACATGTGAAGCCCTCTGATAGTCATTTTTAGATTGAATCACTGCCTCTCTATCATATTGCATCAGCAGCATCTCATAATCAGCCAGTCAACCAGCAGTCTCATTGTTCTCTCACACAATTTGGCCCTTCTTCTATGCCTATGCACACTGTCATACTAGATTTATGATTATATTGACTCAGATTCGTCATCTTCACCTATTATGAACATTGCTGCATCCTCATCTGTCAGGTTGGACCAGTCTTCACCTTCTGCCCATTCAAATGTGCACCCGTCAACCCATCGAGCAAGAGGCTTCATGATTGTCACCAATCCAATGTTGTAGAAGTCCAATACTTGCTCATTGGGGCCCAGTTTTCGCCCTGGAGGTGTCTTGTGTATCTGTGATGTTTCATATGCTTTCTGTAGTAACGCGATCCCTTTCTGATCACCTGGTGTTGTATGATGCGAGTACCTCTTCCACGTCACAAATTCCCTTTCCATATGACTCGAGATGGCTTGAATCACTGGAATGACAGGATGCAGCTTTTTGAGATACTCCCAATCACTGTTTGGCCCTTGTGAGCGAAGTGTGACCTTGATTTTCCCTATGTTTGCTTCCTGTGCATGGTCAACTGGGGTATGTCCATCCCTTTTCCCAGTACTATTCACTAGCCAACAGTGTTTTCTGATGAAATTACTGAAAACAATATTTAGCTATTCTGCAGAAAGCTATAACACTAGGTAAGCAACTCATGCCACAGCAGACGGCCATTCACGATTTAAGCCTTGCAGCAATTCCAAGACCTCTGTTGTGTAGTGCGAATTGTGTCAGTCAGCAAATCTTATAAGTAGATGTGGTAGCATCACCTCCATGAGCCCAACATTGCCATTCTTGATAGCGCCATCGAGCACCATATACTGTAATGCATCATGGATGAACATGATGGCGCACATCTTTACCTCATCCATTTGTGTACCACTATGCTTCATGGAGAGAATGGCAGCAGTGCTTGCATATTCTCTTATGATTGTCTTTGCCAGGTCTTGCAAGTCTTTTGGCTCCCAGTGCATTAAATTCTCTATTGAAGGCTCATTGCTCACTCAGAGCCAGCATGTCCTGATATGTGCCTCAAGAACGTGACACAGCACGCACTCCAGATTATCATGAAATGGGCCCTTCGTCGACACCTGATCGAGGCCTTTATGTTCTAGCAAAGTGAAGGCATGTTTCAATCCCATTCCCGCATCAGTCCTGAGGTATTGCTTATGCAGTGACTTCACAAATGTCACCTGCAGGTGCAGCCATCTGAAGGCTGGAACAATGAAATCTAGCCGATCAAGTGAGTTGAGCTCCCGGCCACAAAATTGTTGCAGTCCTCGGATGCGATCAGCGGTGAGTTTGTCGCCAATCACATATTGGATAGTTTCACGACTTAATTCCTCTTGCTGCATGCATGAAGCATATCCAAGTTGTCTTCAAAGGTGGCCAAGGACTTTGTCATTGTCTTCATAGGTCACCTCCACAATAGGCATACTTCTGAGCATGAATTGTAATGTGACGTTGATATGCTCAACCACGTCCTGGCCATGAGCAGCACTCCTAACCAAACCCCTACTGGTGGAAGGCAAACCGGGGCTCTGTCCATCTGCAGTCTTTTTGGGCTACAGTCGTAGGAGACTTTGGATGATAACGCAGTGATGGGTGGCCATGAGTCATTTGGCTGTGATGCTTGAAACGGAGTTGGATTGTCAACGCTTCTGGATCGGTGAGTGTCAGACTCGACTGTATAGACACCTCTGATCAGGAAGCAGTTGAAAGCTAGAATGTGGGAGTGTGTGGGTGTAGAATGCAATTGGTGACTTCTGTACTCGTGAACTGTGGTGGCTGAAGGTCTGGGCTGGGGCACGAGGACCTTCTACATCTGGAAAGTGCTGGTCAAGTGCCAATGACGAGGCTCTAATTGCCTCTGAACTAGCTCAAGCACCAATGAGCAACCTCTTACTGCCTCTGAACTGGGTGAGGCACTAACGACGAAGCCCTAATAGTCTCCAAACTGGGATAAGCGCCAACAATGAAGCCCTGAGTGCTTTTGACTGAAACGAGTGCCGACGATGAACTCCTGGGTGCTAGCGGGGCTACGGGGTCTGATGGGGACAGAATTCTGATTTGAGACTCATGACTGGTGGCGTGCAAGCGAAATGCGATGGCGTGAGATACGAAAATGTGATAACATGACTTATTGTCACAGTAACACCGGACAAGAGATCAAAAAGACTAAAAAGGGACAGTCACGTGGAACGTGCCACCCTGATCCCCCTGATCCCAAAGAATCCCCCTGAACCCTATGTGACACAAGAGCCTAAGACTTACTAGTCGAGGTGGTTGATGCAGGAAAGGGTAAGAGATATATGATGGGGCTGGTGAGCTCAGTAGGGTGCTACGGTAGTAGACGAGGAGAAACAATCTGAAGTTTCATCCTCTACATGGCTGGTCTTATATACACATACAGCGGGCTATCTTACCTAAGCTACCTATCTACGGGTATAAGCTAATGGCCATACATGAAACAATAGGATGTCCAAAAGTAGAACAATGAGTGGAAAGATCGATGGTTGCCGCAGTAATGCTTGTGCACATCGTGCCTATCTTGGTTTCCCTTTTGTTCTCCGGCGTGAACATCATGCCTATCTAGGCTTCTGGCTAAACTAATAGGAAGCGGAAGGCCGATGCATAACAATAGTCCTTGTTCCCTTTGTTCCCAAATGGGTGCCTTCATTGTATCCTGGAATAGACAGGTCTGACCGTATCATCCGCAAGTCTGGACCATAACATGTGATGTGGACTATCACCTGATCTCTACATGTCACGTCTGTGGCTGAGTGGCGTGAGATATTGGTGAAGCACGTGATCTGTGGCATGAGAAAAGTCACGTGCGGACTTTGTGGTGAAAATCTGTGACACTTATCTGGCTGAAACCCGAGTTGAGCTAGAGGCCACTGCTGAGAGTGCTGCCTCTCTCTGTGTCGAGAATTCCAGAGACGTAGGATGTGATCACAATAGACATAGACGTAGTCGGGCATGATGCCCTAGCATAGATGAGACTAAAACTGAGTGGTGCTGGGTGGAGAAACTCCATGTAAAACTCTCCTCTTATTCCTATGTATAGTGTAGATTATATAGTGAATTGGAAATGAGCCAGCTGAGTCGCTGAAACATGTTTCTGATCATACATTGTGTTTTCAATCCATTAAAACCTGTCGCAAAGCTTGTCCCTGCCCCCTCTTCATATCATACAGTCAGAGAACTGGAAGTCCGGCTCTTTCAGAGTTTGTCAGTCCACTACCCTATCTTCCATTTGATTAGCGCACTTGCTCATTTCTGAGTTGCCTAACTGGTCATGTTCTGCTCTCGCACTGCACCTTGTAATTGGCTATGCTTCTTCATGGCTCGCTCATACCTCTTACTGCATCTGAACTGGGTGAGGCACCGACGATGAAGCCCTAATAGTCTCTGAACTGGGATAAGCACCAACAATGAAGCCCTGAGTGCTTCTGACTAGATCGAGCACTGACGATGAACTCCTGGGCACTAGCGGGGCTATGAAGTCCGATGAGGATGGAATCCTGGTTTGAGACTCGTGACTGATGGTGTGCGAGCAAAATGCGATGGCGTGAGATACGAAAATGCGATAACATGACTTATCTAGCTGAAACCTGAATCGAGCTAGAGGCCACTGCTGAGAGTGCTGCCTCTCTCGGTGTCGAGAATCTCAGAGACGTAGAACGTGATTGCAATAGACATAGACATAGTCAGGCACGATGCCCTAGTGTAGACGAGACTAAAACTGAGCAGTTTTAGGTGAGAAACTCTGTGTATATCACAAACTTAGGACGCAGAGCGTCGACTAAGCCTATGACCTTATGATCAAACACTTACTGACTGTTGTCGACGTAAGTATGGACACAAAGATAATCAAGGTAAAGCAGCGACTTGCAAGTGGTCGCTGGTGACACTATATGGATAGGCGTAGCAGAGATGAAAATAAGTCTGGGGGACTTAGACATCTCAGAGCTCTGGCTTATATACATGAGCAGAGGGACCCTTGGTACCCTGATACCCCAGAATCGCTAGCTAATGAACATTGTCTGATTGGTTACCACTACCTGTCAGACTACGTGTGTCATGCATGCCGAACCTCCGAACTACTTAGTAAGACCATGGGAATGGTATTGC